TTCTGGTCATATGAAAGTCCTAGAAGTATGAATTCTGAGATGTTTCTTTGGCTTTTCATATACTTGGTTTTGCTGTAAACTTCCATAAAGAATATGTTTCTGAAAGAAAGAAGACATAATTCTAAGTGAAAATTAACTATATGAACAAATAATACAAAATTTATTAAAATGCATGTTGACATAGAGTTAAGAATAATTCTTGATTTATGGAATTAAGCAGCTTTTCTCTTTTTCTGTCTTTTATAAATCTACCCTGAAATAATTCTATAAATACATATTTTACTCAATAATACTAGTAATTATTTAAAATATTTAAATATTATCTTGAAAATACATTTTATTACTATTATTTGTATATTTAGATAAAAGACTGCTAATTATATTATTTAGTCTAAAACAAGGAAAGATTTTTTCCATATTTCCCAATTCTTGTAAGTTATGAAATCAACCTTCCTTCTTTTAAAATTATGTGAGAAAATTCCCTTAATTTTCTGGGAATGAATCTGAAGAAATGCATCTTTGTTTAAAAATCATTTTGAACTACTGAACTATAATTTGTGTAGAGCATACTATACTTTCTTATGTGGTCAAACATTGTCAATGAGTCATGTTAAACCAATGGAATTGCTCTTACATCAAAAAGCAAAGAATCTTTGAATACAATACAGCACTAGAGAAAATACCAATTAATGACTGAAATTTTGAAAAACATTCAGGAAACGCATTCATTTGTTGTATTTATATTTCATGAGTTAAATAAAATTAAAAAAAAATACTGTCATTAAAGTTTGTGATGGCAATTAATAAAGGAAAGATAAGATTGTTGAATTGCCAAGTATTTTAGAATTATGCACGTCATGGCTTTTACTCAAAATTTCGTATTTTAGATACAATCTAAAGATCAAATGCAATTAAAAGGAGATAATACTGAAAGTAATTTGAAGACAGACTTTGTGGTGAGTTAGCATTCAATGATACTTGTGCATAAATGAATAAATGAAATATTCAGGAATTCACATTTTTGTATCTAATATATATATTTTTAAAGATTTTATTTATTTATTTGTCAGAGAGAGAGCACAAGCAAAGAAAGTGGAAGGTGGAAGGAGAAGCAGGCTCCCCGCTGAGGAGGGAGCCTGATGCAGGACTGGATCCCAAGACCCTGGGATCATGACCTGAGCTGAAGGCAGATGCTTAACCAACTGAACCACCCAGGCATCCCTCTGATGTATATATTAAGATATCATTTAATCAGTGCAAAATGAGTGTAGGATAAAGAGAAACCACTTCTAAAAGCTATTTTACACACTAATGAGGAAATTTCAGATTTAGTGGGTTTGCAAAAACTAACCACCTTTTTTTTAATATATATATATTTTTTAAGATTTTATTTATTTATTTGACAGAAAAAGACACAGTGAGAGAGGGAACACAAGCAGGGGGAGTGGGAGAGGGAGAAGCAGGCTTCCCGCGGAGCAGGGAGCTGGATGCGGGGCTCCATCCCAGGGACCTGAGCTGAAGGCAGGCGCTTAACAACTGAGCCACCCAGGAGCCCCATGCACATCTTTTACCTTAGTCTGAATCTCAAGGGACAGACATATCTTGGTCCCCAGATGTCCACTAAAAAAATGCAAAATGCTTTTTTTGCAATATTGTTTAGTAACTATCATCTGTAGAGACTCATAAATTTAAAATCTGTGTTACTGATAGTTTTCAAAAGATTGTAGATGGCAAATAATAGACAGCTAGGGCATTTTTAGAATGGTCTGTACCATGAGACATCAATTCTACTTTAAAATACATTCAAATTTCTAACCTCATAAAAGTAGAGATTTTTAATTTGTTGCTACTTTGCTTTCTACTTTATTAATAAGGCTCCCTATCCTCCTTTATGTAACAAAATAATATAATTATCTCACAGAGTGTTCAGCAGTTAACTGTAACTAAGGAGTACTGAAAAGCTTTAGGAGTGTGAGGATCATTGACCTATCTTCTACTTATTTAAACTGATACTACTCTTTGTTTATGAGGTAGAAACAATGTTAATTTTGAGATATATCTAATAACCAAAACAAATTGATTTACAAGCAACTTTTATCTAAGTAGAATGTGAACATTATAAATGTGGAAATCATTTGACCAATGCAAATCTCTGATTCTAAACAGAAGAGACATATCAAGAGATCTAGGTAATTTCTCAGGATTGAAAAGTAACACACTATAAATGTGAAAAGACAGAAATCCTGTTTCTTCCACAACCTGGGGCTATCTTTCCTGGGAGAGAACTGAGAGGGATGTCATGAAGGACAGTATGGAAAAACTCTTTTGATTCCTCTTCTGAGCAGAAAAGAATATGCAAGACAATGGGTTAACCAACACCCCGTCTGTCTTTTTGAGAATGTATGTAAGTAAAGAGGTACAGAACATTTAATACACACATGTATTCTAGGATTTGCTGATTCTAAAACATTTGAAATAATTTGCCTTCAGTTTTACAAAAATGCAAATTCCTCGTCAGGATTCCTGCTTGTTTTCTAGATCATCATTGGAATTTCATCTCCAATAGCTCAAAACCCCAGCCTGTATCCTGAGGGAACTTGCTCTATGATCAGTGCTGTTAGCAGAGGTAAAAGGGAAGAGGGAAAGTCAGTTGAGGAGAATTGCTGTCATAAAACAATAAAATGATACCGAGGACCCCTCCCATGGAAAAATTGAAGTCACAATTGGTAAATAAAGAACTTCAGGCAAACACTGAACAAGCAGTTGAAACAGTAGCAACAGAGAAAGGGGTAGAAACTCTGAGGCATCTCAAATCAACTGACCAGTGTGATCCTTGAGCAAATGGCTTCATCTCTTCAGGCCTCCTCTTCCTCATTTCACAACTGAGATATCATTACAAAATTCAGAATTTCAGTGAGGAATACATGAGGTAATATGAAACAGCCAGTGACATGTGTGGTTCAGAACTGTCATTTTTTACAGTCTTTCCTCTCTGAGTGATTAGTTTAGGACCACAGACTGTCATGGGTGCACACACACAATCAATAAAAAATAAAAGAAAAAAGAACATTCATAACATGGATTTAGTAAATGTGATCACGGGAAACTCCAATTTAAACAATCTGTTACTGAAAGTCTGTTAATGTCCTAATCAGTTGGTTATCTTAGCCGGTTTTTAACAGTGATCACTAGTCTAATTTTTTTCTCTACAAAAAGTACACAAATAATTCATTTATTTTTTGGTATTATTGGATACAAATTATGTGTACCTTTTGGATTATGTTGTTCATAAAGTAATAGAAGCTCTTATATGTAAATAGAAGTTTCTACCACAATTTCAAAGTTTTAGTGTAACAAACTCTTACCGTAACAGAATATAAAAACTCTTAGTGTAATAAAATGTAACATGTTATAAACTTACCGTAGCTGGTTCAGATGAATCTAGTCTATTTTAGGGTGGCAGATGTTTTGAAATATGGGAAGTCTTTGTTATTGTACATATTCAAGCATAAACTGGTCTGTTTCACAATAGGAATATGAAGTAATGCCTGTGAGCATGATTTGTGGTCACAATGAAATTCACTGCCAACATATATACGCTTTATTTAACTCTATTATTTTCCTCCTCCAAAATGGGAATTTTGCTTGTAACTAATATGTTAAGTCTAAAGTATGCTAGAACATTTATATAATAATGAAAATGTCATATGCTGCAAGAGAAGTTATATCCTTTAGAATGATATTATACAGAATGAATATAAAGAACTCACAATTAGCCTAGCACGTGTGTGGTAAGACCCTTCCCAAACCAAGGTGACAAGGGTAATTCACTAACCATAGGATCTGAGTGCCTGTCTGGTTAGTTTTGGGGCTGCATCAGGAAGAATTCCCTCCTCAGAGTCTCACTCTGCCAGTTTGTCTCTAGTAACAAAACCTGGAATCAAACTCAGAGAGTTACAAACCCGGAATTCAAACACATCCAGATGAATTATCCGCACATATTTTGAAAATTTCAACACGTCTTAAACTTTCTATAGTTTATAAGGTTGGTGGACTTCCAATATTCACTAAGACTCAGTGATGCAAGAAGTGGATCATCATCCCTCGGAAAAGCAGCCTGGACATTTTGAAAGCTGATTTATCTTCTTAATATTAGCTCAGAAGAAAAATAAGCAAAATTGGTTTTCATATACCTGCAGAAGCTAGCACAAGTATTTAGGTCCTAGGAAACATCCATTTATTTTATGCCTATGCCTTAAGACTGGTTGAGAGGAACAGAATACAAACTTAATTAGCAATGCGAGAATTAATAGGTCTTTGAAATCTTTATGTAATTATATTCCCAAAGGCATTTCTAGATGGGTCTTGGCCCAAGTATTGCAAATCCACCATCCACAGTAATGTGCTTGGTGATTTTGGGTATAAACTTTCCACATTTGCCTAACTGGAAAAAAAAACAGCCCTTTTTCCCTGAAGGCCCTAAAAGGCTATAGTGTGACTGCCCTGTGCTCTTCCAGGTTTCTGAAGAATAGGAGAGAAATTTTAGCTTCTAATAGTATTAGGTTAGCTTTCAGGAAAATCTGAGATGAAGTAGGACAAGAAGAATCAAAGAGGGCCACTTAGAGTCCTTTTTTTTTCTTTTTTTTTTGGTGGGGGGAGTTATCAAGATATTTGGTCTTTAGGGTAGGTAGATAAGTAAAATCAATGACTTGTGATATTTAATCAGTATGACATTACCACTGATTGATGAGCTCTTAGAAACTGGGTGACAAAGGAAAGATCAGAATAAACATGTCCTCAAGTTGTCAGGGAGGAAAAGCAAAATGGAAAAATCAGAGGAAAGAAGCAAAGTACAGCAAAGCCTTTAATGTGTTTTCCTTCTGATTCTCAGAGTGATTCTCTGCTCACTGACTATTCACAGGTTGTTTAGACTCAGTCACATCTGCAGGCACCAAAGCCAGTCAGTCTCTCTCTACCATATGCCAGTCCACGCATGTAAAGTTTTTTCATGCAAGAAGTGTCAGGAAATCAAATTTTATAATATTTAATCTGTTTCAGATCAATCTACTTAGCCAAAGAATAACAA